GTTTTTACTAAAAATACAGAAATTAGCTGGATGTGGTGGCCTGCACCTGTAATCCCAGCTACTTTGGAGGTTGAGGCAGGAGAATTGCTTGAACCAGGAGGCGGAGATTGCAGTGAGCCAAGATGGTGCCACTGCACTCCAGCCTGGGTGACAGAGCCAGATCTTATCTCAAAAACAAAACAAAAACCCAAGAAATGAAAATTGGCATTTTTTATTAGCAAATTCATTAGAAGCAGTTAGGTTTGGCTTAACATAGTCCATGAGCTTTGCTTTAATTTGATGGCATACAAAGAAATAAACTAATATTTTTGATTAATTTGAAGTAACTTCAAATGTTGGTGTTCAGAAACATTGGAAGAATTAACTCAGCGTTCTTGCAGTTGGAAAGTTTCCAGTACCAAATGATTGTAGAGTTCTTTAAGATCCAAAAAAGGATTTATCAAACATGTGAGCATTTTTTTTTCCAGTATAAAATTCATTAGAATGATTTAAAAACTACTAAGGTTAGGTGTATCTCTTTGTTTTAGTCATTAAAGATATTTGTTAACTCTGCTTTGGGATTTTGCAGCCGAAGGGACCTGATATTTTTTTTTACTTTCAGTGGGCTTTTAGAAGAGTGATGTAAATATTTTTTGTTGTGATCCTGTTCATGCCATCCACTCACGGAATTACAATACTGAGTACTGTTGCAGTGTTTTGTTTTGTTTTTGACAGGGTCTCAACCCCTTCAGGATCAAGGGATCCTCACTTCAGTCTCCCGAGTAGCTGGGACTACAGGCACGTGCCACCGCATCCACCTAATTTTTGGATTTTTTGTAGAGATGGAGTTTCTCCACGTTGCCCAGGCTGGTCTCAAACTCCTGGGCTCAAGTGATCCACCTGCCATGGTCACCCAAAGTGCTGGGATTACAGGTGTGAACCACCGTGCTGGGCCAGAGTTTCTTTGTTTATTTTTTAAGGCTAGTGAATATTAATGTTATCAATTCACTGTTATTGTTATTAATAAAATGTCATTTCAGTCCAGTAGTCTCTGTTACTTACTGGTAATCTTCAAGATTCAGCAGCTTTTTTTTTTTTTTTTTTGAGACGGAGTTTCGCTCATGTTACCCAGGCTGGAGTGCAATGGCGCTATCTCGGCTCACCGCAACCTCCGCCTCCTGGGTTCAGGCAATTCTCCTGCCTCAGCCTCCTGAGTAGCTGGGATTACAGGCACACGCCACCATGCCCAGCTAATTTTTTGTATTTTTAGTAGAGACGGGGTTTCACCGTGTTGACCAGGATGGTCTAGATCTCTTGACCTCGTGATCCACCCGCCTTGGCCTCCCAAAGTGCTGGGATTACAGGCGTGAGCCACCGCGCCCGGCGATTCAGCAGCTTTTTTAAAGAACCTAGTCTCGCCTCGAACTGATTACTTTTCATCATCTGCACTTAAACATTGTCATAGATTACTTGTTGCATTTAGTATAAGCTTTATCCTTCTAAGACCGAACATTTATACATAAGTTTTTATGCAGACACAATGTTTTCATTTCTCTTGGGAGTGGAATTGCTGGATCAAGTGATGGAGTGGAATTGTGGGTCAAGTGATAACTGTATGTTTAACTTATTGCAGAAATGTCAATCTGTTTTCCAAAGTGACTGTACCATTTTACCTTCCCCCTGATAGTGTATGAGGGTTCTAATTTCTTTACACCCTGCCAACACTTAGGATCTGTTTTTTTTTATTATAGCAGTGCTAGTGGATATGTATTGGTATCTCATTGTAGTTTTTTGTTTGTTTGTTTGAGACAGAGTCTTGATGTATCACCCAGGCTGGAGTATGGTGGTTTGATCTCACCTCACTGCAACCTCTGCCTCCAGGGTTCAAGTGATTCTCCTGCCTCACCCTTCCAAGTAGCTGGGATTATAGGCACCTTCCACCATGCCTGGCTAATTTTTGTATTTTTAGTAGAGACAGGATTTCACTATATTGTCCAGGCTGGTCTTGAGTTCCTGACCTCAGGTGATCCTCCCACTTCAGTCTCCCAGAGTGCTGGGATTACAGGTGTGAGCCACTGTGCCTGGCCTGTCATTGTGGTTTTGATTGCATTTTTCTGATGTTGGGCATCTTTTCATGTGCTCATTGTTAATTTGTATATTTTCTCTGAAGAACTGCCTTTTCAGATCCTTTGCCTATTTTTTAAATTAAAAAAAAAAAGTGTGAGTTGTAATAGTTATTTATATATTCTAGTTGCAAGTTCCTTGTTAGGAACAGTATATGTCTTGCAAATATTTTCTCCCATTCAGGGAGTTGTCTTTTCATTTTCTTGGTGGTTTCCTTTGAGGCACAAAGTTTTAAATTTTGATGTCCAGCTTTTCCTTCCCTCCTTCCCTCCTTTCTTCCTTCCTTCCTTCCCTCCCTTCCTCCCTCTCTCCCTCCCTTCCTCTTTTCCTGTCTTCCTTCCTCCCTCCCTCATTTTTTTTATTTTTCTTTCTTTCTTTTTGAGACAAATTCTTGCTCTGTTGTCCAGGTTGGAGTGCGGTGGCAGAATCTCAGCTCACCGTAACCTCCAGCTGCTGAGTTGAAACCAGCCTCCCACCTTAGCTTCCCAAGTAGCTGGGACTACAGGTGAGCACTACTGTGCTGAGCTGATTTTTAAAAAAATTCCAGCCAGGTACGGTGGCTCACGCCTGTAATCCCAGTACTTTGGGAGGCCGAGGCAGGTGGATCACCTGAGGTCAGGAGTTCAAGACCAGCCTGACCAATACGGAGAAACCCATCTCTACTAAAAATACAAAAATTAGCTGGGCATGGTGGTGCATGCCTATAGTCTCAGCTACTTGGAAGGGTGAGGCAGGAGAATCACTTGAACCCACGAGGCGGAGGTTGCAGTGAGCCAAGATTGCATCACTGCACTCCAGCCTGTGCAACAAGAGCAAAACTCCATCTCAAAAAAACAAAAAATGTCTTTGTAGACATGGCGTCTCACTATGTTGCCCAGGCTGGGTCTTATTTATTTTGTAATCTATACTTCATCTTTATTTTTTGCTTTTATTACTATTTTTGGTTGACACAGTCATTGTACGTATTTATGGGGTATAGTGTGATATTTCAGTACATGTATACAATGTGTAATGTTTAAATTGGTATTCTTTATTTTATTGCTTTTGGTGTCATATCTGAGAAATTATTGCCAAATTCAAGGTCATGAAGAGTTTCTCCTGTATTTTAAGAGTTTTATAGTTTTAGTTCTTACATTTAGGTCTATGGTCCATTTTTGGTTGACTTTCGTATATGATGTGAAGTAGGAGGTCCAACTTCATTATTTTATCCATTGTCCTGGTGCCATTTGTTGAAAAGACTATTCTTATATCTCAGTTGGATTGTGTTGGCGCCCTTGTTGAAAATCAGTTGCCCATAAATGTGTGGGTTTATTTCTGGATTCTCAATTCTATTCTGTTGATCTATATGTCCATCCTTAATGCCAGTACCACACTACCGTGATTACTATTACTTGGTTTTGAAATTAGGGAAGTGTTAGTTCTCTTTCTTTGTTCTTTTTCAATATTGTTTTGGTTATTCTGTGTGTCTTCGGTTTTTTGTGATTTTAGTATCTGCTTGTCAATTTCTGCAAAGAAGTAAGCTGAGATTTTGATAGATATTGTATTGAGTCTGTAGATGAATTTGGGGAATGCTGCCATCTTTATCTTTCAATTCATAAACATGAGATGTTTTTTCATTTATGTACATCTTGTGCTTTCTTCTAATAATATTTTTATTTATTTATTTTTGAGATGGAGTTTAGCTCCTGTTGCCCAGGCTGGAGTGCAATGGTGCAGTCTCGGCTCACCACAACCTCCGCCTCCCAAGTTCAAGTGATTCTCCTGCCTCAGCCTCCTGAGTAGCTGGGATTACAGATGTGCACCACCGTGCCCTGTTAATTTTATATTTTTAGTAGAGACCAGCGTTTCATCATTGTTGGTCAGGTTGGTCTCGAACTACTGACCTAAGGTGGTCTGCCTGCCTCTGCCTCCCAAAGTGCTGGGATTACAGGCGTGAGCCACCGAACCTAGCCTAATTTATTTTTAAGAGTGTTAATTGTAAATGTAGTTACTAGTTATTTATTTACATATACTTTTAGCTAGGAAACTATAGCCAACAATTAAGTTTTTAATGTATTAATTCTAGCAGAGATCTTCAGAATATTTAGAAGTAGAATAAGCAGTTTTTCTGTTAGTTTTGGTTATTTTTGAATAAATTTAGTTTTAAGTTTATAGTGATTTATTGAAACCCTGAAAACTATTTTCATGGATTTATTTCTAATAATTGTGGCAAAAAGGAAATGCTCTTTTTCAATGCCTAGCTATAAAATATAGTACTAATGTTTGTTTTTAATACATGTACAGCCCGAGCATGGTGGCTCACGCCTATAATCCCAGCACTTTCGGAGGCTGAGGCAGGCGGGTCACCTGAGGTCAGGAGTTTGAGACCAGTCTGGCCAATATGGTGAAACCCTGTCTCTACTAAAAATACAAAAATTAGCCAGGCATGGTGGCAGGTGCTTGTAAGACCAGCTACTTGGGAGGCTGAGGCAGGAAAATCACTTGAACCTGGGAGGCAGAGGTTGCAGAGAGCCGAGATGGAGCCACTACACTCCAGCCTAGATGATAGAGCAAGACTCTGTCTCAAAAAACAAACAAAAAACACGTGTACAGTTTCTTACTTAGTTATCTTCTTGGCTTAATTTTCTAACTCCCTGATTATTATTCAGTATTTAGATTAATGAACTGGGAAACATCACTGTAGAAATAAAGGCACAATGGAATCCCATGTACTTATCACTTAGCTTCATCATTTATCAATTCATGGACCCCCCCCCCCAGATTGTTTTGAAGCAAACCCAACACATACTATTTTGTCTACAAATTAATGATGTATCTTACAAGATAGGTTTACTCTTTGTAACTGTTTTATATTGGAAGAAAAACATGTTCTAATGGACTCTTTTAGAAGGTGGTTTGTTTATTGGGCTAAAAGGAATCAGTAAATAAAATTACTTTTTTATTTTTGATACACAGGAATCCAGATCTTACATAAGATGGAAGTTTCTCACACTAGATGCTGAACATTAAGTAAAAAGTCTATGTAGTAAAATCTAAGGTGCCATGGAAGAAATACCAGTAAAAGTTGCTGTAAGAATTAGACCTCTGCTTTACAAAGAAGTTCTTCATAATCATCAAGTTTGTGTGAGAGTTATTCCAAACAGCCAGCAAATTATCATTGGGAGAGATAGAGTTTTCACTTTTGATTTTGTTTTTGGCAAAAATTCCACTCAAGATGAAGTTTATAATACATGTATAAAGCCCCTAGTGTTGTCACTCATTGAGGGCTATAATGCAACTGTTTTTGCCTATGGACAAACTGGATCTGGGAAGACATACACTATTGGAGGAGGCCATGTTGGTAAGATTCTCATACTCTTTGACTTTTATTTGTGACACTAGAAAGAAGCTAAAATATGACCAATATCTGACACATGGTATGTGCTTAGCATATTGATTGAATAGTGAAGGAATGAATAATGTAATCAAATGTGATCATAAGATCATCTTTGAAAGATTTGTTTTTAAATATTGAAGTTTCATTAAGTAATCTAATTTAGGATTATATTTGCTTGAGGAAAGAAGTTTAAGATAGTTTTCAATGGTCAGCCCTTGTTGTTTTGAACAGAATTTAAAGTAGAGGTAAGTGAGTTTGTTACCATAATCAGATTTTGCATCCTTTAACAAGCCAGTTGTAAATATTGAGTCCCACTATCAGAACTTAGGGACAGTAGGAAAAATTTATTATGTAAGGTATCTTTTTTTCATATTCTAGCCAGATTTCATTTTTAAAAACTGAATATTTTAGGATATAATTTCTCCTCCTTATAGTTTGGAAAAGATGGAATTACAGGATCTTCTGTAGAGCTGGAGGGAACCTTGGAAATCATTTTAGTTAAGTGTCTGGTAATAGAGTCGAAGACTTGACAGCCAAGTTCTCTGTTAAGATTGTTTACTGTATTGATATTTTCCTACTAAAAACAAACTTTTGAATAGTGCACATATGCATCATTGTCTAAAATTTTAGTTAGTATTCTCTGTATATATATTGTCTCTCAATATTTTTCTGTTTTCATATTTCACAAATGTAAAACGTGGCTATCAGAAACCTTTTTCTCTAGCTGCTCAGATATGAGCTAAAACAAAATAAAATAAAAAAATTTTAAAAAAGAAACTTCTCTCATTATATGCATGGAAGGGAGGTGACTCAGAGCATGTAGTTTGAGGAAATCTTTATTCCAAAGATTAAATGGAGGAGCCTTTAGAGGCCAATACTCTTCAACTAAAAGAAAAATCTCTATATTCTGCAGGATTAGGAGATCACAGATACTAGATTGTTTCATGGTCTCACAATAAAAAGAATTCAGTTTTTTCTAGTATAAATTTTAGCTTTTCTTGAGGATTATAGGGTTTTTTTTTTGATTGGTAAATGTTTTATAATCCTAATAACTCAATAGGTGCTTTATACCAATAGGAGTTATAAGATATTCAGAAGCTGGTGACTTGAATAATAGCTATACTGTTTTTTTTTTTTAATTAAGAAACCATGATTCCTGAGATGTTTAATTGGCGTTAGATTAAAAAAGAAGAAGAAAAAAAGAAACCATGAGTACTATTTTAATTTTGTAAGGGAAAAAGTTATTAAAGTTACCTGTTGTCCTAACAGCTTTTAATTGCTTTAAAATTTTCTCTATCAGAAGAAGTAGACCACCATTAAGAACATTTTGGATGTTTTCTTCTCCTTTTTTCTTTTTTAATTAAAAGAAAATGCTTATTATAAGAAGGATTGCAAGTAATGCATAAGAAATTAAACAAGTGACAGCTCCTCTCACCCCAAAGACATAATAGTTTGATGCATATAACTCGTATTACTCACATATGTAGTTTTTTTGGGTTTTTGTTTGTTTAATTAGATATTATACCTATGATTCTGTAACTTTCTTTTTGTATTTAACAATGTAAAATATCATTTCAGACCAGGAGTGGTGGCTCATGCCTGTAATCCCAGCAGTTTGGGAGGCCAAGGCAAGCAGATCACTTGAGACCAGGAGTTTGAGACCAGCCTGGCCAACATGGCAAAACCTGTCTCTACTAAAAATACAAAAATTAGCCAGGTGTTGTGGTGCACACCTATAATCCCAGCTACTCAGGAGGCTGAGGCAGAGAATTGCTTGAACCTGGGAGGGAGAGGCTACGGTGAGCCTAGACTGTGCCATTGCACTACAGCCTGAATGAC